CTGTCTTCCCTAGAAAAGTCTCCATCCTGTGTTCTAGTCCCCTAAACCTCCTTTCCTATTTTCTGATCATGGGATGGAAACTATTACTAAAAAGAACTGTGACTGATTTTCACCTAATAGATTAGCACAAGCCCCCACCCCATTCCCAAACCACATCTTTCTTTTTTGGGTGGTGGGAAGGTACCGGGGATTGAACTCAGGTGCCCTCAGCCATAGAGCCACATCCATAGCCTTATTTTTTTTTTTTTTTTGTATTTTATTTAGAGGCAGGTCTCACTGAGTTGCTCAGTGCCTCACTTTTACTGAGGCTGGCTTTGAACTCACGATCCTCCTACCTCTGCCTCCTGAGCAGCTGAGATTACAGGTGTGAATCACTGCAGCTGGCTATATTGTTCTTTTAGCTGGATTTCAGTTCTGCCAGCTAATGGGGTTGGGGAAAGCAAAGAAATGTTCAGGGCTTGAAGACAAGCATACAAGAAGCACTGTTCACCTTGGTGACCAGGAGAAAGAGAGGGACCCCAAATCTGGATGCTCCAGGCCCCTTCTGCTCCAGATAAAGTGCAGTAAAGCTGTCAGCTGCCCAGAGTATTCCTCAGCTGAACTTTCTGTAGTTCTAAACATTCGTCATTGAGAAATTCAGTTTGTGCCAAGAGTTTAACTCTTGAAGGAGGAGGATGTGGAAAAGAAAGAGGAAGAGGAAGAAAAAGAAGAAGAAGAGAAAAAGAAAAAACTTCCAGAAGATTGTGGTCTACAAGAGTTGCAGCCCACCTCTTTGACCCACAGGACAACCTCTGGGACACCAAGGCTGCACAGTGACTCTGGTCTGGCTGTGTTCAGTGGGTTCCTAGAAGCTGAGGGCTAGATGTGAGAAGGGCTGGGTGTTGGGAGCAGGGGAGCCAGGTCCCCTTACCACACCTCCACCTCCGGCTCCAGCTCCACTTGAGGCAATCTATATGTCCATGTCCCACATAATACTTTATTTGAAAGAGGAGAAAAGTTTCCCTTACTAAGAAAAAAAAAAGGAGGGGGAAATGGGATTCCACCCAATTCCTTCTACCACAAAAAAAGGAAACCTGAGATGAAAGAACACACTGAGGATGGCAGAGCTGTAGAGGCCAGGCTGGCTTTAAAATCACACTCTGCGTTAAACCCACACCCTGCGTCTTCATCCAGCCATTCATCCGTACTTGGTAGTGTTCGGGAACCGGGACACAGGGACAAGCAAAACACAGCCCTGCAGCCTGTGAGACCCACATTTCAGTGGAAGAGGCAGACACAAGACAAGTATATGTACCATGGGCGCCAGGAGGCGAGCTCTGGGGAAGGGCAACAGCATCTGACCAGAGCAAAGAGTGAGGGGACACTTCCCCAAGGAAGCTGAAAGATGAGTGAAGAGGGGACCCAGCAGGGGACATAAGGCCACAGCAGTGCACATGGCCAGCTCATCAGCCCCCTGGAGAGCCCCTGGGACAGGTGATCTGCACTGACCTATCCCCAGAAACTAAATCCAGGAAGAAGTGGGCTCTTCTAGGTACCCAGGCCCTCCTGAGGCTGGCCTCTGAGATCCTGGCCTCTGGATCTTTCCTCCCCATCCTGCAAAGCAAATGACATCATCCCACTGCACAGATGAGAAAATAGGCTTGGCAAGGTCAACTGAGAATCCTAAATATCACAGAGCTTCAGATAGACAGGGCCAAAATTGGAACCCAAGTATGTCTGATTTCCAAGCCCAAGTTCTTTCCACAATTCCAGAATGTTACATACAAATAGGGAGACATTGAAGCCAAGTGTAGTGGCACATGCTTTTAATCCCAGCAACTCAGAAGGCTGAAGCAGGAGGATGTAAGTTCAAGGCCAGCCTCAGGAAATTAGTAAGGCCCTGCCTCAAAATAAAATTTAAAAAGACCAAGGATGTTGTTCAGTGGTAAAGTACCTGGGGTTCAATTCTCCGCTCAAAAAAAAAAAAAAACCCAAAATATCCAAAGGATAGGGAGACATTGAAAACCTGAAGGTAAACTAGCAGAATTCAAGCTACTGTATGTAGAAGCTTCTGCAAGGTTCTAGCTACTAGAAGTCTCAAAATAAAAGGGGTGGGGATGTAGCTTAAAGTTAGAACATTCCTAGTTTCAACTGAAGGAAAGGAAAGAAAGGAGGGAGTGAGGGAAGGAGAAAGGGAAGAAGGAAGAAAGAAGGCAGAGGAGATATTGAAAATCCGAGTGTAAACCTGCAGGATCCAAGCTACTGTGTCAAGAAGTTCTAGAAGGTTCTAGGAAATGGATCTAGAACTGGAGTTGTATTTGCCCTGACTGCAAAAACACAGTTCTTTCATCATTTATCCATAAAAGCACTACCGAAACTACAAATTGAGTTGTTGAAGGCCAAGGCACTGAGAATTACAGAGAACTTTGAGGGGAATAAACCCAGAGTATGGGGGGGAGATGTCCCTTCAGCTTTCTAGGAAGTGACCCTGCCACCTGGCAAACATGCACACCCCATGCACACACACTTGCACCTACACACACACACTCTCTCTCGTTCCAGACCCTGTGCCTCTCCTGAGAGCCACAGGAATCCCAAGGTCAGCCCAAGTTCTCATTTCTAATCATCAAAATATAGCAGAATAGCAACCTGCAACCCCAACAAACACAGGGAAGAGAAATGCAGGACTTAGGAGAGATAAGATATCATTTAGGACAAAGGACATAGGATTGGAGTGTCCGCTGTTCTACTCTCTACCCCCAGTGACTTCAGCTGGGTCTAGGGCTACACAGTATCAGCAAATCCACTCAACAGTAGGGAGCAGCAGAAATAGCAAATAAGTCCAATCCTGGCCATAGCAAAGAGCATGAAAACAGGAGGATCCAGTAGCAAAAAATCTGCAACTGGCAGGAGGGCCCACGGTCCATTTGAGTTCTGTTCCCAAATCATCTCAGCTAAGGACTCCTTGGCTGGTGGCTGGCTCCCGGTGCTTGCTGCTCACTTGAGAGCCCACTTCATTCTGGCTGGACTGCTCCTGTTGGGTTCCCAAGCCAACAGTGTGTAAGTGCCATTTGGTGTCAACCTTGACATTCTCAGCACTTCCTTTCTATCCTAAAATAAGATGTACATATAGCCCACTTATATACCATTTTATAAAAAGCAAGTTAATGTCCAAACTTAAATATAAGACAGAAATGAAAAGACAGTCATTTTTTAAAATACATGTATTTCAATCTGTAAAGTCACGTGAGGACATTCCTATTATGAAATCGGCGGATGATTATACACACTGTGTTATGGTTTAGATATGAGGTGTCCCCCAAAAGCTCTTTTGTGATATAATGCAAGAAAGTTTAGAGGTGAAATGACTGGATTATGGGACGTGTAACCTAAACAGTGGATTAATCCACTGTGCAGTCCTGATGGAGTCAGAAACCACCCCTCCCATCCTGGAACCTGCTGCTCTTGTCAACAAGCAGGACCTGTCCGTCAGGTCTTTCCAGTGTGTGGCTCAGTCAGGCCCAAGGAAACAGCAACATCTAAACAGTAGCCAAGTGGTTTATCAGGGATGCCCAGGGAGATGGTTTGTATCCCCTTAACATCTCCCAACCAGGCCTCCCAGATCCACATGCATTCCTAGGGTGGGTTCAGCCGGTAGAGGGCAGGATGGCTGCAGCTTGGACATCAAGACAGGATACCAACTGGCCCTACCCAGGTCGGCTGCTAGAGGTCACTCCCTCTGTAGCATCTTCTTCTGCATCCAAGGCAGGAGTCACCAGATGATAGGGGCCTTCAGTTCCCTACAACCATGTACACAGTGACCAGCGGAACACATCCTCTCCAAAGCTGACACGGCACTGTGTCCTCAGGGCATCCATCCATCTTCTCAGCCTTGATCCACCAGTGCCTGCATGCAGGGCACACCCAGTTCATCTTGCTCAATGGGCAGGTTCCATGGCTGCCACCTGTGGCATCAAAAACTGTATCTACTCAAAATCACTCTCTAAACTCCCTTGCATGGGCCCCAGGCTAGGGATCAGCAAATAGAGTCTCAGTCCATCCAATGCAGCCTGTTTGTTCTCTGGTTTGGGAAAAATCTGTATTTTTTTCAACTGAGGCATGCACAAGGAATGCGCACCATCAGAGCTGCCATGCTGGGAGGAAGCCCAGGCTACATGAAGAGGTGCCTCAGCCATCCATCACCACCAATCACCAGATGTCTGAATAAAACAACATTTAAATGGCTTCAATCCTTTCCTTGGGCCACTCCAGCCTTGGAATCTTCCGGGTGAGGTCCCATATCTCATGGGGCACAAATAAACCATCCCTAAATTCCTCACCCATAGAACAGGTAGTAAAACATGGCACTACTTGGATTAGGGGCAGCCAACTTGTATGTATCTTTAAGCATTTCAATAATGTTCACTTGGCATGAGGGTCACACTAGATGCAGCCCTGCAGAACCCAGATAACAGAAGGAACAGCAAAATAAAGCCACGAGCTCCACAGGGGCATCAGTCTGGACACCAGAGGCAAAGCCCCTGCCATTTAAATTATTTCTCTCAGCCAGCCTAGTGGCGCACGCCTGTAATCCCAGGAAATCAGGAGGCTGAGGCAGGAGAATTGCAAGTTCAAGGCCAGCCTCAGCAACTTAGTGAGGCCCTAAGCAACTTAGCAAGACCCTCTCTCAAAAAATAAAATGTGGCTCAGTGGTTGAGCCTCCCTGGGTTCAATCTGAGTGCCAAAATATGTGTGTGTGTGTGTGTGTGTGTATTGTGTGTTTCTGTCATTTGTTCTAAAGAAATATGTGCAGTTGTATTCTTGGAGGTTAAATATGGATTTTACCAGAGAACAGTTGATGCTTGATAGATGACTGAGTTTTCTAGAAGGATATTCAGGGTTTGTGTGTGATTGTTCAGTTCAGCCAATGCAGAGAAAACTCAGAGACCTCAGTTGTCCTCCTGGGCAAGTGTGAATGGTGGGCTCTGGGGACAGCTGTGCCACTGTGTCAGATAATTGTACAGCCACAGCAGTATCGTTCAGGGTAATCTGCCACATACACCTGGTGGTCGGTGCCATAGATGTAGTAGACATAAGTCTTTCCTTGGTACCAGTAGTGAACTTCTGTGAGGGGGATCAACTCGATGGTCTGGCGCTAAGGAAACAAATGGCCACAACAAAAACAAAAACTTCAGTGTTCTGTTCATGTCACTCACCTGCTCAAGAATCTTCAGTGGCTCCCTACTGCCTATGGAATAAAGTTCATTCTCTGAAGTTGGCATGCACTCTAGAGTTGGTGCCTATATCCCCTATCATGCTTCTTCCCATAATCTAAGCTTTGGGCAAAATTGATGCCTCATCTTTAGCCACCATCCACTTCTGAGTTTCACCAAGCAGGACAGAGGCATCTTTGGGGAAGTTCTATGGTACATGAAAAGCTATCAGCGAAACACAACATCTTCCAGAGGCATTAATTTTTAGTCAAGGTGCTAGGGGAAGGTGGAGGATAAAGTGATTTTTTAAAAAGATTTATATATTAAAACAACCATAGGGATAGTAGGGAGGCATTTATAAATTCTGAATTAAATTTTAAGATAAAACATTGGTACCAAAGAAACTTCCAAGTTTGGTAAGCTGTGTCGGGCTATGTCCTCAGACCTCCCTCCCCACCACTGCCACAGTTTCGGATTGACCCTGCCTGCAGCAGTCTTCCGCAAATGTTCCCTTCTTTTTATAAATGGGGAAACAGAGGCCCATGGGCTCATGAAGTTTTCGGTGTGAATTACCCCAGTTCAAGCCCTGTCTGCTCACCAAAGCTGTATTCATTTAAGGCTCAAATTCCCTCACCCTACATCTGGTTTTGTTTTGTCTTGTTTTGTTTTGGGTACCAGCCCTTTCTGGGGGACTGAACCCAGGAGGACTTAACCACTGAGCCACATGCCCATCCCTTTTTGAGGCAAGTTCTCGCTACATTGCTTAGGGCCTTACGAAGTTGCTGAGGCTGGCCTCCAACTTGTGGTCCTTAGCCTCCTAAGTCGCTGGGATCACAGACATGTGCCACTATACCCAGCAACAACTGCCTCTTTTTAAATGCCCCATAACAGAATGTGGAGTGCTCTCCCCTGACCACAGAGTGGTCCTAAGTCCCACACTAAGATTTGGGGATGCCAAACACAGGGAGAGGTAGTGGGACTGGCCCAGGGTCAGTCACCCACTACTTGCAGGAATTTCTCCCTGCTGGGAAATGAGCCCAGAGCACTCCTTTGATAGCTGATGGGACAGAGGCCCTGGGGAAAGGGGCTGGGAGGGATCTCAGGCTCAAACCACACAGTATCTTGACTTCTCTTTGCACAGGAACAAACCTGACCCAGGAGAATGGGGCAGGCGGGGGGTTCAAGAAGCAGGCTCTACAACTAAAAAATATTTTTTAAAAATTAAAAAAGAAAAAGAAGCAGGCTCTCAACTCTTACTAGAAGAGGAGCCAGGGCAGTGTGCCAATGGGGAAAGAAGAGGGGAATCCGGGTCAGGGAGGGAAATGTCTGTTAAGCTCTCTTTGTGATCTTGCACCCTGTTTCTCTGAGCCTCAGTTTCCTCCTCTGTGAAAAGGGAATGAAAACTACTTCACAGTGTCGTTGACACAACCAAAGGAAATCCGAGGACTGAGTTTTCTTCTCATGCCAGAAACTGGTATCCAAATCATGACTTTGGAAACACAAGGCAGAAGATTTCTCTTGAAATTTCATCGTAAATGGTCCCAACTCAGGGGCATGAGGAAATGAGAATTGACATCACTGCTCAGAAAGCCTGGACAGCGGGGTCAGGACCCCTCTGGCTTCCAGAATTTTCTACTAAGATCAAAGAAGAACAGAGAAACACCATCCCCACCTCCACCGGCCTCTATCTATTACAGGATTGATGGGTATCTGACTTTGAGACCACAAATTGCTCAAGAGATCAGTGGCCATCAGGTAGTCATCTTGTCATTTGATGGCTTGGCCATGCCCCGTAGGAAACAGATGCCAGGTTTCTGCGTCACAGCCGTGGCACCGCGCAATGGCAGATGTTTCCACATGTTTGGATTCCACCTGCCACCTTCTGCATCTTCAGTAAAATGTCAATGTGAATCTTTATCTTCGGTTCCAGGACCCAAGGCTGATGAACAAAAATGTTTCACGGAATTGATCTCTTAAACTATTATGTTCCCTTTTAAACATCGCCTGGTTGACCCTTTCTGGCTCCAGAATTTGTCCACAGGTGGTTCATATCACGGGGGGGGGGGGGGGGGGAGACACGACCCAGGAGACTCACATTGTATGATCTTAGGCAGGTGACTGACCTCTTTTCCTTGGGCCTCAGTTTCCCCTGCTGACCATCCAAAGAGGACTCAGATTTCCCCCTCTTGAAGTCGCTGGTTAACACCAAGTCTCCTCACTTCCTTAGAGCCTGTGAACCCTCTGCCCATTCCCAGAGGAGATGCCTCAAGATTTGGGGCTCTAATTGTAACTAAGTCATAGCTCACCTGTACTGTAAGAGCCAACCACCTTGAGACCATTCAGTAGGTTGTCCTCGTGCCACCCCCTCCCCAGGCTTCCCCCAGTCTGTTTCACCACCCCTCATGTCTGGTGTCCAGCTGTCCACAGCCCCATGTTCCCAAGTCCTGACCTGGAGGTACAGAGCTCACCTCCTACACAAGGGCCAGATAGTGCCTGGGAAGATGCGTCCAATGACTGCACATTCCCAAGAATACAGTCCACTCCCTTGCCTGCAGGTGGACAGGCAAGGGGTGATTTCTGGGGGTGATTTAAGCTTGGAGTGGGGTCACAGAAGGCCAGGTTGTCACCTGAACTGGGACCTTTTCTTGGCTTCTTCCTCCCCCCCACCCCCCCTCCTTCTCAGTTTCCCCCCAAAATGATGTGCATGCAAGTCCTCGTTTCCGCTTCTGCAGAGCCCAACCCAAAACAAGAGCCAATGCCTCTCCTTTGATAAGCAAGGACATCGAGGCCCAAGGAAGGGAAAAGGGGGATCAAAATCACGAGTGAGTGTCAGAGCTAGGAGGAGGTGCTAACCCCATAAGTTAATCGTCCCTGCAGCACCAGGTCCCATGAAAGGGGATCTAAATCCCATATCCCGCTGGCAGGTGACACACATACCAAGTCAACAGTAGCTTTCTGAGTGACTACTAAGCTGCTGTGTGACCCTGGCAAAGTCCTTCTCCTCTCTGGGCTTCCTCTCATTTATGGGAAAAGTCATGCATTTGGATCAGAAGCCCCAAGTGACCCTATCTGCCCACGCGAGGCTCATAGCTTTGTTAGGATTCTGTTGTGAATATTTAAAAATTTGAAAGTCTCATGTAAAAATATGGACATGGGAAAGTTTAGACACTCTGGGCACTGTGCCTGCACAAAGCTGTGGGGTTATTGGCCCCTTTAGATGCGGGGCTCTCCCATGCATATGACCACCTGCATGATTTCAAAGTTCCCTTCTAGATCCCAATGGCCCTTGTTAATTTTTACTAAATGCATTCTTTTCTCTCATGCAAAAAAGATAGATGTGCAGAGAGAGAAAGAGAGGTAAGAGAAAGGGAAGGAGGCAGTATAAATGTTCATTGCAGAGGGGAAGAAAAGGGACATTTCAAGCACCAATTGCCAACCACTTTAAGCAAAGTATCTTCTCTCTGCAAACCCCCCTACCCCCAAGGTGGTGTACCAGTGAAAAACTAGACTCAAAGGAGGATGAAGTAGCTGGCCCAGGGTCACATCAAGATGAAGACCCAGGGTCTGACCCTGACTGCAAGGTGCAGGCCATGGCTATCACAGGAGCTCCAGAGCCAGACCCCTGCTCCAAGCTCAGTTATACCCAGAGAAAGGGCAGGCACCAGCACCATCTAGTGGCCACCAGCAGCCTATGACCTGATTCTCCAACCCATTCCTTTATCTGAATTCCAGGGAGTCCCAATCTAAATCACACTAGGCCTCTTGTGTGCGTGAAACCCTGCCAACAACTTCTAATGTCTCAGAATAAAACCCTCAGCCTCTCTGGGTAGCCTATGGTCCTGACCATTGTGTCTGCCCTATTAGCCGCACTGGTTCAGGTTGGCATCCAGGTGTTCCTCACCTGCGACTCCTCCCCTTGGCCTCCTGGTTGGTCCACTCTGACATTCTCAGGAAGGCCTCCAGGCAGAGAAAAGGGCTTAGGTTCCCCTTTTTGTTGAGCTCAGGAAGTGCCCAGGCCTGGCCCTGGGAGCCTCCCCTTCAACAGCCCCAGGTCCAATCCCCAAAAGGTCACCGGCCCCAGGAAGAGAGGTCAGAGCCAGGCAGCCCCTCCAGGCCTCACCCCAGGTTCCCTTCCAGCTCACCTGCTGTAGGATGCGGGCGCAGGAGGCCAGGGAAGCGCTGTGCTCTGTGATGCCCCTCTGGGAGGCCAGAGAGATCTCCCTCAGGGGGAAGTCAACAATGGGGTACACCTGGGGGACAGAGAGAGACCAGTTCACTTTCTCAGATTCAGAGCATTAGAACCCGGAGGTTTGGAAGTCACTGGGACTGAACTGAGCCACACAGAGGAGGAGGCCCAGAGAGGTAGTGGGGGAGCCCAGGGCCACACAGGAAGCCTCTTCCCACACACACCTTAGAAGCCCACGAAGGTCAACACAGAGAGGAGGAGATCTGTGATCAGGAAGAGGACCCCTTCACCTGAAGCCTACGTTCCCCCAGAAAACCCTTGCTGAGTGCCTACTGTGTGCCAGACATCGTGCTAGGGGCGGGGAGGCAGTAGGGACCACATTTGCCTTGGTCACAGACACAGGCAGCTGGAAAGCTCACTTGAGTGATTTCTCACTCAATAGTGGAACTGCCTACTGAGTGCCAGGCTCTGTCTGCCAGCCTGAGGATGTGCTAAAGTCACCTCAAGTAGCTTTCGGTCTGCCAACAAAGTCCCTGCAGCGAGGACAGCAAACATTTTTTTTAATATTTATTTTTTAGTTTTAGGTGGACACAACATCTTTATCTTACATCTATGTGGTGCTGAGGATCGAACCCAGTGCCCCGTGCATGCTAGGCGAGCGCTCCACCACTGAGCCGCAACCCCAGCCCACATTTTTTTTTTAATAATTGTGTTTTTTCTTTTTTTTTAACATTTATTTATTTTTACATGGTGCTGAGGATGGAACCCAGTGCCTCACACGTGCTAGGCAAGTGCTCTAGCACTGAGCCACCACCCCAGCCCTCAGCATTTTGTGCAAAGGCCATGACAGGAAGGCTTTGCAGCCCACATAGTCTGTTTTAACTCAACTCTACCCCAGAAGCAGGAACACAGCCAAAGACAATAAATAAACAAATGGAGAGCTGTGTTCCAATAAAACTTTATAGCCAGGGATGGTGGCACATGCCTGTAATCCCAGTAGCTTGGGAGGCTGAGACAGGAGGATCCTGAGTTCAAAGCCAGCCTCAGCAACTTAGCAAGGCCCAAACAAACTCAGCGAGACCCTTTCACTAAATAAGATATAGCTGGGATGTGGCTCAGTGGTTAAGCACCCCTGGGTTAAATCCCTGGTAAAAAAATAAATAAATAAAAACCTTGATTTATAACAGCAGGCAGTGGGCCAGATCTGCAGACCTCTGGGCTGTAAGATCCTTCGTGCTCTGGCTGTCAGGTACCTGTCAGGCCCAGGCTTCTCTCTCAGCCCTGCTCTCTGCCCTCTGCCATGCCCAGCTGTCCCCTGGCTCCCATGATCACGCAGTCTACTCCCCAATGCACTGGGTGTGCAGGTTTCTACCCAAGGTCCCTTCTACAGAGAGGCCTTCCCTGACCCCAGCTAAGGCAACTACCCCTCCCAGCCTGCTCCCTCACCCTTCCTGAGTGTTCCACCATAACCAGACCTACCACCACCTGGCAACAGCCATTATTTCCCCCTCCAGACTGTAAGAGCCCTGAGGACAGGACTTTGCTTTTTTTTTTTTTTTTTTGCCATGAAATCCCCAGCACCAGACCACTGCTTTGTTTGTGCACTTGAATCCTCAAACCTCGTGGAAGAGAAAGGGGAATAGATGGGGAGAGGAATAGAGGAAGGAAGACAGTACAAAGGACAGAAACAGGGACAAAGTGTCCAGGACTGAAATTCAACTGGGAGCCGGCAGCCCCTGGGGTCCCAGAGCCTCTTTCCTAGCCTTTCCCCACACAGCCCATCTTCCCATCCAGCTGCCTCCTGCTGGAGGGGACAAGGAACCCCACTGCCTTGGTCGCCTGTCCACAAAGCCCTCCTCACCGCTGAGTTTTCATCCCTAAAGAGGTTTTCTCCCTTGGCCTTCGCCAGCAGCTCCCGGGGGCAGTGGCGCTGGTGCTGGGATAGGAACTCAAACACGCTGTTCCTCCTAGAAGCACATGGGAGTGGGATGATGCACACGGTGCGAAGAACACAGGCTTCGGCATCAGGCACACCTGGGCTCAAGGGCGCATGCGCAGATTGGTAGGCTCTGGGAAAGTTCAGGGCCTCTCCCAGCCTGGGAGCTCCCATGCAGCAGGGGTCCAACAGGGGGACCTGAGGGCTCGGCTCTGTGAGTTATTATTTTATGAGGACCCAGGTGACACCCTTAATGCCTTGGAGCACTGACTTCCAGACTGTAGCTTTTAGGGCCCCGGGATTCTGTTCCCTGACACAGGCACTTAGCTGTTGAGGGACTGCTGCGTACAGAGCGGTAAGGTCAGCATTTGAACTTGGGTCCTTCTATTCTAAATCCTGTGGACACACCACCCCACGCAGCCTCTCCCAGGGAACTCTTCCCCTTCTATGTCCTGGCAGCTCCCTGCTCCATGGAGTTGCTCTGCAGCAGCCAGGCTGGGACATGTCCTCTGCCACCTCCTTGAAGCCCAGCACTGAGCTCTGCCACCTACCACATGACGACCAGCTGGATGAAGTGCACCAGCCTCCTTTGCCCCTTGCAGGTGGCACACGTCTTGTTCCCCCCTCCTGAGCACGTGCTGCACCTGCAATCAGTCATGGGGTTCTGGTGACTTCCAGAGGTCCCCATCCCCAAATCCTTCCTCAGAGAGGAAGATGAGGATGGGATTGCATCGTTTTTACCCGCCACCATCTCCCCACCTTACCTTGGTGGCAGGGTGTCTTTGGGGACCTCCCCTCCTGGTCTGCTGGGTTCTTGGGCTTTGCCCTCCCACCCTACTTTGACCAGCTTAGGATGCCAGCCTGGTCAATCATTCCATCTCTCTGGCAATGATAACTGATACAAGCAAACACAGGACCCAGGTGGATGCACTGAGACGCATCCGAAGACAACTATTGAGATTATCAGAAAAAAGAGCATTCTTGTCTACTGGGATTCCTAAGGCTGAAGCTACCTCCACCACTCCAGCCTGGTGACATTGTTGAAGTCCCTGGATCCAGCTCGACCTGAAGCCATCCCAGAAATACACCCCTATGGACATAGCAGGAACAAGACAGGCGCCTGCCCCCCTTCTAGATGAGCAGAGGGTAAAAAGCAAGAAAGCCAGTACATGAGACCCTTGGCCTGCATGCCATGGACGCCCACGGGTTCTTACCTGCGCCTGCCAGAGCCCGAGCACATCTGACACCTCCGGGGCTGCCTGGCTTTGCGCTTGGCTCCACTGCAGGTCGGGCACCTCACCTAGAGACACATCACAGCCTCAGCCCCACTGGCTCCTGGCAGCAAGGCCAAGACCCTCCCAAGACCAGCCTGGTGACGTTAGCACAAGTGACTCCCTGCCTCCTGGGCCACAGTCCCTTCCAGTTACAGCTTTCAAAGACTCCACGTCCTCAGTTGGGGATGTTTCTTCTGAGACATCAGCGTCCCCTCCTTCTCTCTGATTCCCACAACCCTAGATACCTTCCCCAATCAAGTGTGGACAGGGAGCTGGGAGCAGAGTGGCCGGCTGGGGACCTGGTGTTGGAACTGGGGGCAGGAGAGAGGGAGTGGGGGAGATCCCTTTTGACAGTGGCCCCAGAAGTGGCTCAGGCATTGCCCAGTGAGAAGCAGGAAGAGCAGGAGTGGAGGAAGGAACAGAAAGACCATAGGGAGGGTGTCCTGGGACAGCCAAGGAGGCAGGTAGCAGGGATGAGGACACAGGAGGGAACAGAGAAAAGCCAGGCACAGGCCACTGCTGGAAAACACAGTGTGTGAGTGGGTGGGAGGTCAGCACCCAGCGGGAGGAAATGGGCCACGGAAAGGGTGGAGGGCTGACTGGATGTATTTTAGGATGAAGTTGTCAGTAGGTGTCCAAAGATCAGACTCGAACTGGCAGAGCGGAGAACACATGGGGTGTCTGGTTCTACTCCCAGGCACGGCCCTGAAAGTTTCAGAGGAGAAGACTGATGGCCCAAGAGCCTGGTCACCTGCTCCAGGCCTGCACTGGGCTGGATTCAAACTCAACCCCACTCAAGTGCCCTGGAGCCGCAGCACATGACCTTATTTGGAAATGGTCTTTGCAGATGTCTTTGGTTAAGAGGAGGTTCAACGGCCTCATCCAGACCAGCCTGGGCCCCCACTCCAATGACTGGTGTCCTCAGAAGAAAAGATGAAGATGAAAAGACATCCCAGTTTTTTGGACAACAGAGGCAGGGACAGCGGTGCTGCAGCCACCCAGTGGGATACCAAGGACTGTGGGCAGCTGGGAAAGAGGCATGGACAGCCTCTCCTTCAGAGCCTTCCAGAACACACCTGCCCCTGCCTGGGTTTTGCAATTCTGGCTGCCAGAACTGGGGGACAATGGATCTCTGTTGTTTTAAGCCACCCAGATGTGCTAATTCGTTAGAGCAGCCCTGGGGAACCAGTACAAGGCACCTGTCTACCTTATCTATCAAAGCCCTCATCACCCTGGGCTACAAATGCTGATGGCTTGTCTTTGTCCCCCACAGAGGGTGTCCCTGATGCCAAGGACCCCAGGTCTCAGTCCTCTTATAGGGCCAAGCAGTAAGCAGATGCTCTGTGAATACTGGGAGATGAATCGGACGGGAGAGAACACTTACAGCTAGAATGTCAAACTGTGAATGTCATTAGAGACAACCCCAGCCAGGTTTCCCACTGGACAGATGGAAAAATGGAGGCCCAGAAAGGGAAGATGATGCACAGGGAGCCCCACAGCCCCAGCCCAGCCCTCCTCTCCCATGTCCCTCCCTCCCACACACAAGTTCTCACTCACCAGTGGCCCATATGTGACTCACCATGCCGGACCCGTGGCAGCCACTGCACTTGTACCGCCCATGCCCATGACATTTGTGACATTCCTGAAAGTGAGATGCTCTCCTTAGGTCCAGTTTCCCAAGCACCAGCCCCCTGCCCCGTGATGTCACCATCTTGAATAGAAGTGCCCATTGAGAACAGGGATAGGAAGACAGGATGAGGAAGGTACGGTCCTTCCCATTTGACCAGGATCCCCAAAGGTTTTCAAGGCCAAGTCAAGGACCCTGCGTTATCACTGCCTGCAGGCCCCGGCCCCTCCATCCTGTGGGCCAATAAGGGGGCTCTCAGAGTTTACTCTGGGCTAACCCACACCCCACAACTTCCCACCAGGCTACACTGCAAAGTCTGATGACAGCTGCCTATCATGGCTAAAAGTGGTCTTCAGGAAGAGGGGCCACACAGAATGGACGCCATGTTTGTGAAAGGCCATGAGAGAGCTACTGGAACTTCATCACTGAATGAAAATAGCTTTTCCACCCTCGAAAAAAAGAATGGAATGTTTTTTTTGACCTTTCTGCGACCTCTTCATCTCATAACTCTATAAAAACTCAGGAGAATAAAATTACATATTCAGTCAAGTCCTTAGGTGAAAACAGGCAGGAATTAGATGAGAAGAGAATATAAAATACCTGTTCCAGGTTCCCCTCACTCCATGCCATGATTATATTTCTGTTCTGGGGATTGAACCTAGGAGTGCTCTACCACTGAGCTTCACTCTCTCCCCAGCCCTTTTTTTTTTTTTTTTTTTTTTTAACTTTTCGGCGGACACAACATCTTTGTTGGTATGTGGTGCTGAGGATCAAACCCAGGCCGCACGCATGCCAGGCGAGCGTGCTACCGCTTGAGCCACATCCCCAGCCCCCTCCCCAGACCTTTTTAAAAAAATACTTTTTAATTTGAGACAGGGTCTAATTAAGTTATTGAGACAGGCCTCAAACTTGTGATCCTCCTGCTTCAGCCTCCTGAGTCATTGGGATTACAAGAATGTCCCACTGCACCCAGCCATGATGATATTTCTATCAAACAAGATGGAAGTGAAATTCTGTTTCCCTATGACTTCCAAGAAAATCCCAATAATGTTTTTGACTTTTATTTCATGTCATTTTCACTCACCCCTCCAGTTATTTTTGTCAGATCAAAAAAAAGAGATACAAATACACTCAAATGGTCTAGGAATGTTACTGTTCACTATTTAAGGCTGGGGACAATTCTGAAATTGCTATGTGAAGACTCACTCCCTAATTTGTGTGGAATTATGTATGAGACTACATTCCATACCCTGGATGTTCTAAACGGAGGCTTATTTATACCCACAAATGAACCACCAGGCTGGATTGGGGGTTTCTTTTCTAAAGGGATAAAGTTAAAAGAAACTTTCCACACTTGAAAAATTAGCACAGAGAGAAGGGCACGTATTCCAATAAGTACATTACCTTCACCAGTGAAGAATGAGGGACTTGGAACTTCTTGGTGTCCTCCTGAAACATTGGAGGGATCTGGACCTTGATATCCCAAAGCCTGGGGGAGGTGCCTCTTTGTGGCCCGTCTACTGAGTGGTCTACAAAAAGGAACGATCATCAGAGCAGCCAAGAGCATCAGAAATTAACTTCCATTTATTCAACAAACAACACCAAGCCATCAGTTCATGCCCAGGCATTGGGTTAGATTCTGGGGCTACACAGCTAGGTATAAAAAAGCCCCCTTGGAGACCACGATTAAGAACTCAATCTGTAGGGCTGGACAGACCCAGGTTTGATTTCTGGCTCTACTATTTCCTAGCTGTGTGACTCCAGGCAAGTTGTTTAACCTCTCTGAGTTTTAACTGTCTCTTTTCTAAAATGGGGCTAATAGTGGCACCTATCTTACAGGAGTGTAGAGAAAAATAAATATAAAAATATATAAAATGGTTAGCACAGGGCTCCCAAATACTGAGGGATTAATCAATACCAGCTCTGATCCTTATCACCACCATCCCCTCCACCATCCCATCTTCCTCCTCTCTGATCACAGAGAGTCACAGCATACAACCTCAGTTTTATGTCATGAAATATGATAAGTTCTTTGGGCAAGAGTTGTATGAACAGTTGTAAGAACTCAGAGGATGGACCTATCCTAATGAGCAGGGGATGGCAAATAAGAAATCCTGATAGGCTTCATTGAAGAGGTGACACATGAGCTCCATCTTGAAGAAGGGACCAGAATGGCCCACCCGAGAACAGAGGCAGGACAGAGTCTTCCCAAACAACCATGAGCCTCTAGTGGGGTTCAGTGGAAGGTGGGAGGTATAGCTGATGGGGGTGCGGCACAACAGTCTTGAGTCTTAGAGGGGCTGGGGTGGCACAGGAGGCGGGCAGATGCCAATCACGTGTCTGGACCCTCCTGCCAGCACCAGCCTGCAGCCAAAGCAAGCCCTGGACTTCCTCAGGCCTCTTGCAAACCACTTCCAGGAGGCAGGATGTACTTACTGTGGTCAATGCAGGAGAGGCTCCAAGATCAGCATCCACCACTCACCCCCATTCTACAGGGAATGGGGAAACCAAGGCTCTGAGCAGATGAGCACCTTGTTCCAGGTCTGCTGCTGAGCCAAGCCCTGAGATTTTCCACCAGCCCCCTGCCTCGTTTGCTACCTGTCATACTGATTTCAAGACGATTCACTTACTTGTAAAAGGTTGAAATGTCCACTCGCTTATCCTGGATTCACTGAAGGTCTCTAGTCGATACTGCAGAGGGTGGAAAAAGAGCACTTTCACATTCCTGTTCCTATGAAGACAGAGCCCATCTGCCAGGGTTGGTTGAGGACACCCAGGATCCTATGCATGGTGCCCTCTGGTTGCTTAGAACAGGCTGGCAATGGTGATTTTTATTATGATGCCCTGAGACATTTGCAGAGAACTCAGGCAGCCCTGGGAAACCCCCTGACAGGCTCCCATTCAGAACCATTTCAGGTCCCCAGGAATCTCCACACAGAAATGTTCTATGAGTCAAGTTTGGGAACAGTAGTTATCCTTTAGATGCAGGCCACTGGAGTCCACAGTTCTGAGGGTCCCTATTAGGAAGAATTTGTCTGACTCATGTCAAAATTTTCTTGATGATCCTCATTCACAAAATCTCAGAATTTGGCTCCTCCTTTCACATGTAAGAAAACAGACTCAGGGAGGTCAGTTGATTTGCCCAAGGTCAAACAGCTCTAAAGGGGCCGCTCCCTCTAGATCCCTGATCTAGCTGCTCTGTGTTTCTGCATCAATGTGTGCTCATCAAAGGACAGCTGTGTCCATGACACTGAAAAATGTGGACAGAAAAGCTGTCCCTCTTCCCCCTTCAATGCAGAAGGAGACAGAAATGTGTGCCAGAGGCAGGATGGCCCTGGAGTGATGGATGAATGATTCTGCCGTGTGGACATGATCTGGGAGAAGCAGAGCTGGGGTCAGGGTAGCCAAGGACCCTCTCTCAGCCCGCCCCTGGTGGAAGGCTGGAGTGAGGCTCTGGGATGAGCAACCTGGGTGTGGACTGAGGCTCCGTCCCTTCTACTGCATGTTCCTGTGTAAGTCACTTTGCTTGTCCAGGACTCCCACCTTCCTCTCCAAGCTGTTGACAACAAGGCTAGAGTGCAGGGTAGCCAGGAGAGTGTGGCAACACACTGATGCCATGCGTTTCCATGAGGTGCAGCACATCTGAATGATGATTGAAGCGCTCACTCGCTTCATTATGATTCCCAGGTACAGACCAGAGATAGTGCAGAAGGGATTGGACGTCGCTACCATTCACCTGCTACCCCCCACCAGGACTCCTTGCTCCTGGCTGGCTTCCCATAAATATCCCCTGTCCCAAAGTCCCCAGGCCCCAGCCCCTTAGCCAGGGCCTCCACTAAGCCCAGCCCCCTTACCCTGCAGAGAGTCTGCTGCCTCAGCTCCCGGATGATGAGGTCATCTGCGGCTGCACTGCCATAGCAGCATTTTGAGTTCACGAAGCTGAGAAGGGCCTCACGGGCCACCTCCTCTGTCACCACAGGGACTCTGATGGGGACCAGAGAGGTAGAGGTCTGGGAAGGGCCCTCAGGCTCATCCAGGCCAGCCCCCTCGGTGTACAACTGGGCACCAAGGGCCCAGAGAGCAGGGAAGAGTCCTGAGGTCAACAGTGGTAGTGAAGCCCCAAGGAGTCCAACTGGGGACAGTGACTGGAGCAAAAGAGCATGAATGGATGCCCAGGGCGAGAAGTGGTAGGTCTTTCTAAAGGACAGCAAAGCCATGTGAGTGAAAGTATGTGGCTCAGGAGAGGGACTCAGAGAATCTCAGAACATCCACACACAAAAAAAAGATGAGGCTTCTGCCCTAAGAGAACTTGACCTTGACCTTGACCTTGACTGGAGGAGCTGGAGCAGCAGAGCACTGGAGGATAATGACAGGGAGGGAAGCAGATCTAGGGCCCATCCTCTGCCCTCTGTCTGAACAGCTTCCCCTCCTCCTGGAAAACCCTCTCCTGAGGCCAGGCCACGTCCTTGGCTAAGCTCTTCCTGTCCCCACCCCCTCCAGTAAGAAGGAGGCCTCTCCTTCCTCTGCCCTCATATCTTCCTCTGCTAGATCTCCGTGGCAACCCTGGAGCCATTTGAACCCGACATGGACACCTGGTGTCTCCAGTACCCACCAGGCCCAGCATGTGCCTTCAGATCAGTGGGCAGCAGAGATGCCATGGGCTGCAGAGGCCAGAGGCAGCTCCACAGAGGAAGGGTTTGTACTGGGCACAGAGGCTGGGCAGCTCAGAGGAGAAGGTGAGCTGTTTGTGGCTGCAGGAGGACCAGGAACACTCAGGAGACTCCTATCTGGCAGGCCATAACTGCCCAGCTGGGAGGCTGGACCCAGAGAGTGGGCAGGGGCCCCCTGGGGCTTCACCTTCTTTCTGCACAAAACTGGCTAGAAACCCAGAGCTCTACCCGAGAACTCTCAAAATCAACACAGGTAGGCCGTGAGGGGTCTAGCCCCAGGGCTTACAAACTCCTGCAGCCAAGGGCCGGCTAGCAAATATTTTAATTTCATGGACCACATCGTCTGTACCTCAACTGCTACACTTTGCCATCAGAGTGTAAAAGCTGCCATAGACCATGCCGGATGAATGAGTGTGACTGTGTTCCAATAAAGCTTGACTTATAAAAATAAATGGTGAGGGTGGGGCGGGGGGATGTGGTGGCACATGCCTATAAGCCCAGCAGCTCAGGAGGCTGAAACCAGAGGATCACGAGTTCAAAGCCAGCCTCAGCAAAAGCAAGGCACTAAGCAACTCCGTGAGACTCATCTCTAAATAAAATACAGTAAAATAGGTCTGGGGATGTGGCTCAGTGGTTAAGTATCCCTGAGTTCAATCCCCAGTACCAATAAATAAATAAATAAATGGGGGGACTGGATTTGGCCCACAGATTGAAGTTTGCAAACTTGTGGTATTGATTATGATTTTCAAATCTGGCTTCGTAGGCAAATGACCTGAAAAACCTGGTAAATGTATATTGCAAGGCTCCTTCCCTGGAGAATCTGGTTCAGCGGGTCTGGGATGAAGAGAATCCATCCAATGGATCCTAATGCACTCTCCGGTTAAGACACACACTCACACCCCAGCCAGAGGGTGTTCACAGGGCAACAGTGACAGGTGCAGACATAGAACCCCAAAGTCACCTGTGTTCCAGGAATGAGGACCAGGAAGGTGGTTCCTGGGGTCTCACCGGGGCTTCCGAAGGTGGGAAGAATATTTGCTGCCCTGGAGGAAAGGGAGGAAATGATCCAGGGGGCTGCACAGTGCAGCTCCAAGGAACAGATGTTTGTGAGGCAAAAGGAGGAAAGCCTGAGCGTGGGCAAGAACATGAGGGAAAGGAACGGCGTTTAGTGCATCTGATGCAAACAAATGGGGATTCCAAGACCAGCTTCATTCAGGCCGTACGCTGGGCTGTAGTCAGGAACGTCCATAATCACAGGGCTATGCCCCACTTCTGCCTGCTTCCACCCAACCATGATGTGGGGCTTCCCAGCCCCACCAGGAGAAAGAGGAGCTACCTCAGCACCAGCCAACCTGTTCCAGAATTGTCCTCACCAACCAGCGTGAGCCCCAGAAAGAGAACTTACCACCGCCCCCATGAAGAAGCCAGTCATAGCTGGGCAGCCTCTCCAGGAGTTCAGCAGGGGGTGCCAGAGGACTCTCGGCCTCGAAACTCAGGTTCACACCTGCGGAAAGATAGCGAGCGGTCCTGAGCCTTGGAGAAGGCAGGCTGTCCTGCTAGAGAACCACGAGGAGAGGCCCTGAGACGCATGGAGAAGGCTTCTTGGAGTCCAGCCCTCCTGCTAAGCCACCACACATGTAAGCAAAAACATCTTGGGCCCCTCCAAGCCAGCTGCCTGTGAGTACCACTGAGTGACGCTACTCAACCCTACATGGAGCAAAAGAATCTCCCAGCAGGGTCCTGCCCAAATTCCTGACCCACAAAATCCTGAGATATAACCCCAGTGTTGCCTGAAGGCTCTGAGATGTGCAATGGCTTACCTTGAGCTCCTCCCAGTGGGCAGTCCTTGCTCTGGGACTCCCCACAGACCTGGCCAAGGCTGCCTAGGAGCCACACTACAGTGTGAGGTCCCTCTGCTCAGTGCCCCTCCATCCCTCTCTACCTTTGCAGGTGTCCAACTGAAGTACAAAGACCCTCCTTGCCCTTTCCTTTCATGAGTGTATCCCAGGACTTGCTGGCATGCCTCATGTCACCGTGGTGTCTGCACCTCAGGTGACCCAGACTGACACACGAGCACTACCCCCACCCCCATTCTACCAAGGAGGACACTGAGGCACCAAAAGCTGTGATTCGGCCAAGATCATCCAGCCAGCGGGCGGCGAGTGGCACTGATCCAAACCAAGGCTCCAGCTCTTTCTGGGTACTTTTCATAAGGTGAAACACTATTAAGAAATCATTCCATGTATATCTGCTTTCAGTGCCCCATGGTGACCTGCCAGATGTGGCATGGATCCAGATGGCCCTCAGAGTCCACAGAGGCAAGTGTAAGGCAAGTCGTGAGACGTGATGGCGGGCTCAGGAAGCACCTGCCACACCTTTGCCTCCTGGGGGAATGGAAGGCAGGGACTTCTGATTCTACTTGAGAGGCTACTGCAGAACTCCTGGATCACACAGCTGTGGGGCTAGAGGGGGAACTTAGTGCTATGCCTGCCCCACTGAACAGCTCTCAAAAATGTTCCCGCAAGCCCTTGTGCTGGGGGCAAGAATCCCTTGGCTCTTGGAGGAAACTCGGTCACAGGAAATTCACTACGAGGCCTGTAAAGAGCGGGCTGTGGAATGGAGGTGCTGTTTACTATACTCAGGTCAGACTTCCCTACCTGATGCACTTCCCAGCCGATCCCCTGCTTGAAAGCCTACATATCGTTACTTCCACAAAAATAAGAGAATGGCATGCCCCATGCTTTCAAGTTTAGTAAAAATGAAGGTCAGACTAATCAGCAGATCTTGTTCTAAATGAGAGCAACCCAGGTTTATCTGAAAGTCAAGGAATGAGGAAGACTGAAATCCTGAAATGTGTGTGGGGGGGGGGAAGGCAGAGGAAAGAGGAGTTGTCGTTAAGACAAATGAACACGGCCCCTCAGCCGCCCCTTCAAAGTTAGGAATGCCCTTGTCCTCTGACATTGAGAAGGTAGTTTTCTCTTACAGGAAACCTACCAATGAAAGTGAGAAGAAGAACGTTTGCAGATAAAGAGAGAGTCTTTCTAGGCAGGACCAGGTATGATGGTGATGCAAAGTGACATCATCCCAAAACCTCACATGGAGGCCAGACAATGTACACGAAAGTCCCCAACATGATCATTCTTCTGGAATTTTTATTAAAACCTTGGTTTTCTATACTGTTTGCTTTGAGTGATCTTATGAGCATTTGAAGAAATGCAGCTAGAGGGGACCCTGACAGCAACCATTTGCTGTCAAGAGCCAGGCAGGAAATATTTCAGACTTTGGACCTTATAATGGAGCAAATCACATTTGTGCCGTATAATGAGTCGATGTCTGAGCCGTCTCTAGTCCCGTGCCTGGCGTATAAGCAGTGCTCAGTGAACGCCTTGGATTTGAGGAGGGTGGGACTTCCTCTTTCTTTGTGTTCTTTTAAATCAGAGGAAAACAAAGAAAATGTCAAGTGTAGAAAGAAAGACAATCACATCCCCTGGGATGGCTCCTGCCTGCAGAGCAGTCTTGGGGTTGGCTGGGGTATTAATACTATCGTTGAGAAATGCCATATGGCTGGGAACCAAACAAAAGAAGCAGGAAGGGGGAAAGAATGAGGGGTGGGAAATTCAGAGCTCTATCCATCAACCAGGAGCCGCCCTAACCTCTGGGGCAGTTGCAATTCATCAGAGCTAAATTAATCTCACCATTATGCTATGTGCAAAAATAAAGGACTCCAGACTGACCCCCAGAAGGATGCGTCATTTCCTGTGCAAAAACCAACAGGCACAACAGGACCGTGGACGTCACTGGCCATTGTGCAACTCCTAACGTAGGGCACTCGGATGGGGGCTTCCAGCCACGTCACTGTACCCATGGTGTTGGGCAGTGGTCCAGTTGGTCCACCCCACCCTGAAATAGACGTTGCAACCCGTGGCTCACAGAGGAAGGCTGCAGATATGACCTCTTCTGCACTTTCAAGGTCACCAGTGTCCCCCATTTCAGAGAAGAACAAAAAGAGGCTCAGAGATGTGATTTGGCTAAACTAGCTGGCACGTTCATGGCAGAGACAGAAATAGAGTCTAGAACTCAGACCTGACTCCAAGCCCAAAGACCTTGCTACTGAACTTCACTCTGTGTGTCTCCAAGTCTCCATGGCAATGGCATCAAGTGGTTTTTGAGAAAACTTTGCAAGGACATCTGAAAAGGGAGTGTTTCTGCTCACCAGTCGCCAGCTATTTTTCTTTTTTATAAAAGGATTTTTTTTCTTGTGGGGAAGACATAATTAATGGATAACTCCTTTAACCTTTTCTTTTTTAAAATGTCATTGTCTTTCCTTCAGATGAAAAAGGGAATCCATGCCCTTTGCCCCTGATTTCAAACTAATCATCTTAAAAACACTGACATCATGCTCCAATGGCCCCACCACTACCATCTTGTTCTAGTTTGTTTCATAGTTCATCTCCTTTAACAGGTATGACAGCCCCTTTGAGACAGAGGCCTCTCTTGTATACCCCAACAAAGGGTAGGCATGCAGTAGAGACATACAAGTGTTCTGTGCACACAGGGTCAAACAAGGTGGACATTCAGCTGGTGTTCAAAAATGCGTTATGACTTGAATTATACTTAAAATTGTGCAAGAAATAGTCTGATGGTCAAATTCACAGAGAAGTTGGGCCTGGTGATACATGCCTGTCATCCCAGCAGCTCGTGAGGCTGAGGCAGGAGCATGGCGAGTTCAAAGCCAGCCCCAGCCATTTAGGGAGGCCCTAAGAAACTGATTGAGACCATGTCTCTAAATAAAATACAAAATAGAGTTGGGGATGTGGCTCAGTGGTTAAGCACCCCTGGATTCAATTCCTAGTACCAAAGCAAAATCAATCAAACAAATAAACAACAATAAAAAAAAAATTCACAGAGAGAAAAGTAAAATGGTGGTTGCCAAGGGCCTGGGGGAAGGGTAAGGAATGGGGAATTTTTGTTTAATGAGTCCAGAGTTTTTGTTTTGCAAGACAAAAAGCCTTCTAGAAATGGACAGTGTGAATGCCCTAAACTCTACCTTTAAAACTGGATGGGAGCCAGTCATGGTGGCATAGTCCTGTAATCCCAGCAACTTGGGACCCTGAGGCAGGAAGATGACAAGTTCAAGACCAGCCCTAGCAATTTAATCAGGCCCTCAACAACTTAGTGAAACTCTATCTCAAAATAAAAAATAAAAAGGGCTGGGGATGTGGCCCAGTGGTTAAGAGCCACATCAATCCTCAGTAAACCCTCCCCCTCCAAAAAAACAAAAAAACCGCGAAGATGGCAAAAGTTATGTTGTGTATATTTTACCACAGATAAAAATGATTTTAAAAGCAGATTTCCAATGATTGAAACATTATAAAGAAAAAGAAGAAGAAAGAAAGGAGATCTGTTTTGCAAAGAAGAACAAATGAGCAAACGATTAGCCACGATATTTAAAGGACTTCTTGGAGAGGCTAAGAAACCTGACCACGGCACCCCTTCATTTGAACCCTGCAGAGGCTCATGATTACTGAACCCCTGAGCTTGACACTACCTAGGCCCCTACTTGGGCCCCTACCTAGGGACAGGAAAAGGGGATTCTCATCTGTCCACATGCCAGGGAAAAGTCTTCCTACGTTGTCCAGACCAGGGTGAGGAAAAGGGAGATGGCAATAAAGATAAATGCAGAAAGATGGAAGGAGGGAGGTAGGCTTGCTTGAGGCCAGAGAGAGAAGTGTAGGTGCTTTGGGGTGGGAGACACCGGGAAAACATTTTCAGGAGCAAATGCCCACCATATGGCAAGACCAAAATTCCAAGAGCAAAATGAAGAGAAATGGGGAACTAAGACAAGGGCTCTACACTGGGTAGGTCTCTGCAACTGCAGGAGAAAACGAGGCAAACATCACAATATTTTGTTTTAATTATGAATGCTCATGATTTGTGATTTTAAAAAATTATTTGGGATTATGATTTGCAGCTGCTTTACAGCTATCTGGGATGCAAAACCCATGCACTGGAAAGAGCTCCACTTTGCCAAGATAGGGCCATGGAGGAGGCAGCTGGATTTTCTATGGTCTGTCCCTGCTTTTCCAAGAGTGATCTGTGACTTTGTGACACTGGCATTTGCATTTGCCCTCACTGGTATGCAGACCATTCCTCCCAGCTTTGCTCTGGCTGTTCCTGTCCTTGGCGCCCCCAGGCACCCCTTCAGTATTTTCTCTCCCTTCCTGTTGTTGCTTTTGCTAGATGGTTTTTAAGAATTCTTTTTTTAAAAACAATTTTATCAGCACATTCTAATTTATACATAGTAGTTCATGTGTGCTCATAATTTGTTCCAACACATTCTTTATAAAATGTCCACTTGGGGTCCGGTCCCACCAGACTTTGAGCACCGTGAGGTAGGAGGTGTTTGATCTACCCTCATTCTGCAGACCCGAGCTTAGCGCAAAATACCTAGCCCACCAGGTAGTGTTGGGGGCGAAGTCATTTAATTTTAGGGCTTTAATTTCCTTTCCCTAAAAAGAAGTCTTAGGGAATACTGGCAGGAACAGCCCTTAGAGAGGGCTCCACAGCTGACCTGGAGAGCCCTGCTAAGCTCTATATGACTTCACTCAAGCTGTTTATTTCTTACAGGCTTCGCAGGTCAGATGTGCTATCCTGCTGTTAGGAGTTACTGGACCCACCATCCCCTCCAGCAATGTGGCAGCGTGCAGGAAACACTGAACAGGCCCCATGAGGCCATGGCTGACCCAGCAGGTGAGGCCAGGATTCCTGGTGGCTGTGGCTCCATCACTAGGATGTGTGCAAAACACTGAGGCCCCATGTCAGTCATCAGGGATGCTGGCCTCTGGGCCCCTTGTGGGAAGTCCAGCATCCTTTCCCACCACAAGCAGCCTCAAATCCAGTCTCATATCTTCAGCTCAGGATTTTGTTGGTCCTTTTGGAAACAGAGCTGGCCTGTGATCCAAAAGGGAGAGCCCCATCTGTTCAGCACTGGGCCACTGAAGGTGATGGTGGGGTGGCCTCAGGTCAGTCACTTGTGACTTCAAAACCTCTCCTCCTCCAGGGGACCAATTCCCAGAGGTCAGGAGGTACAACCTAGGTCTTATAGGCCAGAGAAGCCCTCTCCTAAAATTACCAGGGGCTCTAATGAAAGCCTCTCTTACTTGAAGAAGCTCTTGTTCTCCATTTTTGGGGAGGGGTGTTCAGTCTGCAACAAAGGAAGTTATATTATAGGACATATGGTGTATAAAATAAGGGAGGAGATCTTTCCTCCTGTGCTCTGTGCTAGGACATGGTGCTCTTAGAAATCAAAACCACTTCCCACCTGGGATTGCTGAAGAAGCAGGAGCTGGTTAAGCAAAAGTTGTTGAAGTCACCAGTGACAAGTTAAGCAGAAGAAAAGACTTTGAAGGGCTCTTGTTTTAAATAAGGAACACCCTTGTTCCAAGTAGCCTTGACACCTAAGATCAAGAGCAAGAGTAGAAGAGATGTCACTCCAATTTAAGAAAGAAATATTCTCAGAGATAAGAGGGGGACAAGCTCAGCAATGGAATGTGGCAGCCACTGGAGGAAGGCACCTGCCCTGGTCAGGGATGCTGCAGAGAGGCAGGGAGGCTAAAAGGCCTTCAGGGCAATCTCCACCTGGATGCCACAGCCCAGGATGTCTTCATCCATATCCACTTTGAAGGAAGGAAGTTTTCCTGTCTCTCTGAGGCCACCTATATTAGGGACCCCCAAATTAAGGGATCAAATACTGAGTGACAAGAAGGGAAAGCCCTAAGATGAACTGGGATACACTGCTCACCTTAAAAGTCACATACGTAAGTATTAGAGTAGGGTCCCCTTCCTGGAAAAAAGTGCCTAGTTTCATAATTCACCCACTTATTTCTAAAATCTTTTCTGGGTGAACCCAGATACCCCAACTTCTGACCTTAGCCCCATGGTGTTTGAAGCCAACATACAGGGCAACCCTATGACAGACCCTGGGCTTGGAGGACAATGAGGGAACCAAATCCTTCATTAGTTCTCACTGAGCCTACCAAAAGGTGTGAGGCCCAGACAAAAACCTCACAGGTGATAATAATTGCTGTTAATAGCAGTTTAATTTTTGAAGCTCTGGGGACATCATCTGGTCACTTCTGACAGTCAGTGTTTACTCCATGCCTACTCTGGCCCTGGTGATGTATTAGACACTTTATAACCAATGAATCCTCCACCAGCCCTGCAGAATGACACCATCTCTGTTTCTGTTAAGGAAAATAAAGCTCAGAGAGGTTAAATGACTTGATCCTAGTTACCCAACCATTAGGGAGGAAGAGCTTGAATTGGAATCTACATCTGATGTAGTCCATGGATACTAAGAGAAACTCCAATTATACCTTGAAAAATCTGCTAATGAAAAATGGTTTGAAGATAAAAGATTTCATCAGAATATTTGTAAAATAAACATCCACAAACTGATCAAAATAAGACTATGGACACATCATTTCAGTAGATCAGAGATTACGTTAGGTCTTCCTCAAATACTTGGAAAAATATCTCTATACTGTCTCCTAGTTCAATATGAAAAAGGAATCCAACAAAATTTAAACTGAGTTATCTCCAAGATTAGCATAGCTTAACTTTACATTCTATTTCAATCTTTTTTTTGGGGGGGGGGGGCGGAGCAGGGATTGAACCCAGGGGCACTTGACCACTGTGCCACATCCCCAGCCCTATTTTTTTTGTATTTTATTTAGAGACAGAGTCTCACTGAGATGCTCAGCTCCTCGCTTTGGCTGAGAGGCTGGCTTTCAACTCCTGATCCTCCTGCCTCAGCCTCCTGAGCTGTTGAGATTACAGGCATGCACTACCGCACCTGGCTCTACTTCAATCTTAAAACATACCAACATTAAAGACAATGGAGTGTCAGACCTGCAAAGGACCTTCAAGGTCATCAGGTCCAGTGACAATGACAATGTATTTGTGTCACAGGCCCCTGTAGGATTCAGATGAAAGACACAGACCCCTCAACACTCTGCAAATACTACATTTACATGACATCTTGTCCCCACCCTTGGGGTCCTCAAATTAAGGACTCCTGATCCTTTCTGTAGTTGGGGGGACTGAGACTCTGATAAGTAAAATGACTTGCCCAAGATAACAGAACCCCTTTAAATCAGAACCAGGACTTGAACCTGGCCTCCCAGTCCCCCAGTGTCCGTGCTTTATGTTCTGTCTCATTACCCATTCCAAAACAGTATGAAAAATTTCCTGTTTTAAACATAGCACATTTCTTCCTAAAATACCATTTCCTTCCTTATGTTTTAAATTAGTCTTTAAATTCCATTGTACTTCTGTCCTAGGGATGACAGAATGGGGTCACCGGGGCTGTGTTTCCCCAGCACTCATGAACAAGCAGACTTTTGCTACAGGCAGGTCCTACATAAAGACTTTACTACAAAAATTAACCGTGTCTACGAAATTAACCTCATCTAAGAATGTGATCGAAGTAAGAACCCCGATATTCAGGCTTATGTTTGGCTGGGGTTGGGGGGAGGTGAGAGCCAGAGAAAGGAAAAAGAAAGAGCACGAGGCTGCACATCATCCCAATGGGTAGGGAGAAAGGTCCTTGTTAAAAGTTCTTGTTCATTTTTGCCGGTCCTTCTTCATTGTCTAGAAGCACACAATAGAAGAAGAGGTTGCAGGCTGCAAATGAGCTTTATCATGACAGCAGGAAGGAGGAAAAGAAGGAAGTTATTGGCAATGCAGACCCAGACCCGAGACATGTTCAGGGCTGACACAGGGTCTTGTTCAGTGCTGGCTACAGAGGACATGCACCCACACCATCCCTGACCCTCTACTTACTGTCCTCTTCACTCAGGTCCCTGTCCATGGTCTAGACCTCCAGTCAAGACAGTGTCTGCGTTCCTGAAGGCCAGCTGCAGGAATCTAAGGGGCCACCCTTGGGCCCCTCCCAGAACGTCAGGCCCATTGTTACCTGATTTGCATACAACAGAGGCAAAGCCACCGTGTCCATCAGAGAGGCTGCCTGGCACCCACTCCACAGGTGCTTGGGGTTCCTCCCCACAAGAGCCTCTGGCTTGCCACTTGCTTTTGGATGCTTCTAGAGTTCCCTGGGCCATTGCTGCAGTTCTGTGTGAGGGACACTCAGATTCTGCTCATTTTTCTGATCTGGGATTCAAAGCCTTGACTACCTGCTTCTCCAGTTGACCACCAAGCACACTGTACATCTGGGGGAGGCAGGTTTCCAAGTATGGGCAGGGCCATATAGAAAAATTTAATAGCCACAGGCAGATCCCCTGCCCAAGGGGGTAAGAACATTTGGGAACCCAGACTGAGGTCTTGGGCACCAACCTCTTTTCTCATTAGAGGCTGGGGTTATGAAGTGAGGCTCCAAAACCACATAGCACATCATAACAAGAGCTGGCTGCCAACCCAGGATGCACGATCCACCATCGTATCTGTGGATTACTACTGGCTCCATACCCACCTGGGCCCTAGGAAAAATCTGTGGGTTGTAGAGGGGCAGAGTGGCTGGGGTTGGAACCCAGGACCTCATGCACGCCAAGAGACACTGAGCTACAGCCCCAAGCCCCATATGCAAAGTTTTAAAGGTCTTTTCCTAAGCCGTTTGCATTAGGGGAGAAATTCCTTCAACTGCAACCCTTGGAAGATCATCACTCTCCTCCAGATGAGTCTAAACAGACTCTCCAACCCAGATGTGCTACTGGAGATGTACCATGATGCTCCTTAAGGAAAACTGGGGTCACATAGGGAAGACTTTTTATTGCTGCTTCTATCTCATCACTAGTTATTGGTCTGTTTATGTTTTCTATGTCTTCTTGATTAAATTTTGGCAGTTTGTAGGAGTCTAGAAATGTATCCATTTCTTCTAGGTTTTCCAATCTATTAGTGTATGCGTTTTCAACATAATCCATAAAGATCTGCTAGATTTCTGTGATGTCGGTGGTGATTCTTCCTTTTTAAATCTCTCATTTTATTAATTTGGATGTTCTTTTTCTTTTGGCTAGTTTGACTAAGGGCTTATCAATATTGTTTATCATCTCAAAGAAACAACTCTTTGATCCTTTGTATTGTTTTTTTTAAAAAAATTCTGTTTCATTGATTTCAGTTCCAAGCTTGATTACTTCCTTCCTTCTACTGGTTTTAAAATTGGTTTGTTCTTCTTTTTCAAGGGTCTTGAAATGCATGATTGGGTTGTTTATTTGGGAATCTTTCTGATTTTATTACGTAGGTACTCATAGCTATAAACTTTCTTCTTAGAACTACCTTCATGGTGACTCAGAGGTTCTGGTGTGTTGTATCACTATTCTCATTTGAATCCAAGAATTTTTCAATTTCTCCTTTGATTTCTTCTATCACCCACTGACCATTCAAAAGAGTATTTTGTAATCTCCATTGCAAAATACTTTATATGTCCTTATAAAGTTTTTATGTCTTTATATGTCCTTATAAAGTTTCTACAGAGTTTTGTTCTGTTGATTTCTAATTGCATTATGATCTAATAAGATGCAAGGAATTATATCAATTTTTTTGTATTTGCTAAGAGTTGCTTTGTGGCCTAAATATGATCTATTTTGGAGAAGGTTCCATGAGCTGCTAAAAAGAAAGTGTATTCAGCTGTTATTGGATGAAACAGATGTCTGCTAGGTCCATTTGATTCATAATATTTTTCAGGTCTGAACAGTATTTACCAAGTTTTTGACTGGGTGACCTATTCAATGGTGAGAGAGGTATGTCAAAATCACCCAGTATTATTGTACTGGGGTCTCTTTGATGCTTCAATTTGAGTGGTCCCTTTTTTTGTTGTTTTTTTGTTTGTTTGTTTGTTTGTTTTTGGTACCAGGGATTGAACTCAGGGGTACTTGACCACTGAGCACATCCCCAGTACTATTTTGTATTTTATTTAGAGACAGTGTCTCACTGAGTTGCTTAAGGCCTCCCTAAGTTTCTGAGGCTGGCTTTGAACTTGCAATCCTCCTGCCTCAGCCTCCCAAGCTGCTGGTATTATAGGCATAAGCTACCACACCCAGCTGAGTGGTGTCACTTTTGTATAATTAATTGCACCCACCTTGTCATATCTTCTTGTTGTATTGTTTCCTTTACCAGTATGAAGTAGCCTTGTCTTTTTTGATCAATTTTAGTTTGAAGTCTGCTTTGTCAGATATGAGAATAGCTACTTCTAGTTCTTTGGGGTCTCCATTCACATAGTATATCAATTTCTATCTTTTCACTTTCAGCCTATGGCCATCTTTGCCTATAAAGTGCGTCTCTTACAAACAACATTTAGTTGTGTCTTGTTTTTTTAATCTGTTCTGCCAGTCTATTTCTTTTCATTAGAGAGTTGAGACCCTTTAAATCTAATGTTATATAGAGAGATGTGATTAATTCCATTTTGATTTATTTATTATATTTCATTTGGTCCTTTTTATAATTTATTTAATTACTCTTCAAATGAGATTTTGTTCATTTGTGAGCTCTGGGGTTTGCTTTTTATTTTTACTGTGTGGAAGGGCATTTCTTTAAGTAAGTTCTGTGGTGCCAATTTAGTAGTCATGAATTCTTTTAGTTTCTACATATCATGAAAGGTTTTTATTTTTCCTTCAATTTTTAATGATAGATATGGGCAATCTAGGTTGACAGTTATTTTCTTTCAGGACTTGGAACACATCATTCCAAGCCCTCCTAGTTTTTAGAGTTTACGCCAAAAAATCAGAAGTGATTCTGATGGGCTTGCTTCTAAATGTGACCTGACATTTTCTCTTGAGGATATTAAAATTCTATCCTTGTTCTCTAGCTTAGGCACTTTAATTAAAATGTGTCATGAAGAGGATCTTTTTAAGCTTATCTCTTTGGGATTCTGAATGCATCCTGTATCTAGATGTCCATCTCATGCTGAAGGTTTAGAAAATTTTCTGCTTTTATTTCCCAGAAAAGGTTATCCATTCCATTAACCTGCATCTTACACCCTTCCTCAATTATGTTATTAAATTTTGTTGTCCCAGAATTATTGTATATTCTGATCATGGCTACTTATTTTCTCTTGTTTAATGTTGTTTGACTGTTCAAGGTTGACGACTTTGCCTTTCAGCTCTGAGATTATGTCTTCAGCACAGTTTACTCTATTAGAGAGATTTTCAACTGAACAGAATTAACACAAAGACTGTGGATAAATAAATTTTAACTTATTTATCTTTTATTTCCAAGATTTTCTGTTTGGTTCTTTTTCAATATCTCTACCTCCTCACTGAATTTCTGATTCATATTGTATACTGACTTCCTTAATCCTTTCATTGTTTTTCTGTGCTCTTTTGGAATTCATTGATTATTTTGTGGACAATTCTTTTGAATTATTTGTTTGATATTTCATCCACTTCAATATCTTGGGGTCAGGTGCCAATAAATCATGAACTTTAGGAAGTGTCATGTCATCTTGTTTTTTTTCATATTTCTTTGTTGGTTTGTATGCATCTGTTGGGAAGGATTTCTCTTCCACTCTTATGTGTGGGCCTTATTAGGGCACAGTGTTCACTTGTCAAAGTGTCCTAGAATGATCCAGATTGAGACCCCCCCTTTGTAGGTATGGTATCCACAGTCTTTGTGTTAATTCTGTTTTTTGCTGTAGTCATGGATGTCTCCATCCATAGGTGGAACCTGGGGGCCCACCCTCTAGCTGTTTCTACTTGGGTACTGTGGGGTTTTGTCTTTTCTATTCTTTGTATTGAAGTATAGCTAAAGATAGAGTGTCATTAATTTGTTTGTGGGGCAAGGTGCACTGACTTCCGATTGACTTTAGTTCAGCAGTGGTGTCCCTAACCTGTGAATTTGTAGTGTCCCTGTAGGTTTCCAGAATCTCACAGAATAAGAAGAAACAAGCAATAGTAACAACCAATGCAAACAACATATAACATTCAGCTAAATGCCTGGTTCCTACAATGACATCTTCCACAAAAAACAAACATGGTGGGGTCAGCAATTGCCAATGGTAAAAACATAAGTAACCATAAATTAGATCTGGCATTAAAGCAAATAACAGTTGACAACTATGTCATCCGCAGCAGTAATGATTTCAACAGCATGAATGGTGGGGGCAGGAAATATATAAACCAATTAGTTTGCTAAGTTTCTAAGGCTGAACTTGAACATTCGGTCCTTCTGCCTCAGCCTCCTGAGTTGCTGAGATTACAGGTGTGTGCCACCATGCCAAGCCCCTAAACCAATTAGTTCTAAAAGATGGTAAAAATAGCTGGTCTCAGTGGTGCTGGCCTATAATCCCAGTGGCTCAGGAGGCTGAGGCAGGAGGATACCAGTTCAAAGCCAGCCTCAGCAACTTAGGGAGGTACTAAGCAACTTAGGGAGACCCTGCTTCAAAATAAAAAGTAATAGGGCTGGGTTGTGCCTCAGTGGTGAAGCACCCCTGGGTTCAACCCCATCCACCAAAAAAAAAAAAAAAAAAAAAAAAGATTGTAAAAATATAGTTACTTAAGAAAAAAATGTGATAGTGAAAGAATTTACAATTTCAAAAAGTGAGCAGAGAGAGCAAAGAAGAGATGTAGGATATGATTGATGGTTATAAAGAAGGAAGCAAAAATAGGAGAAACAAAGCAAAGGGAGGGAGAAAGAGAGAACAATAGAATTTGGCTATCAGCAGAAGAAAAGGGGAAAAGATAAATGAGAAACAGTCAAATAAAACAAAATCAAAATGTACAAACGAAAAACTCAAAGCTTCAAAAGACAAGGTAAGAAGAAATAACTACATTTCTAGAAAATGCTAAAAGTAATAAAAAAAAATATATGTACGTGTGTGTATTTATGTGTCCATTAACCAATCAGACAGCAGGAACACACATATATACACACATAAAAAAAGGAAAAAGATTCATAATGAAAAA